GTTTTTTTTTTTTTTTTTTTTTAAAAGCCTCCGAGCAATTTGGTCTCCGAAGGCTGCCGGGTCAGACTCCGGAAGGCGTCGAGGTTTCAGAGAGGCAGCTTGCCACCGGGTGAAGTTAAAACCCATGAGAACGGGGCACGTACGCTGCTTGGCAGAGCTCACGAGGCACGTGCCTATCTGAAGGCTTGTAACATGTCTTAGAAGATCTGTCCTGAGGTGTCTAAATTCCTTTTAAAAATGGGACGAAGTCCCCTTACATATTTCTAAAACCTTTTTCCCCCGCACCAACTGTTGATTGCAGTAAAAGAAACAGGATGGCAGAGATCTGTCTGTTCTAGGGTGGGATTTTTTTTGTTGTTTTTTAGAGGAATTCTGTAGTTTATACAATTAAAACAGTTGTATCTCTCTTTCTCTCTCTTTTTTCTTTCCTTTTTTTTTTTTCCAGCAAATATTAAATTAAAGCCCCCAGTTCCTGGATTTCCTGTATACAGAGGCCCAATTCACTGCTTCAGGACAGTCTTGCAGAAAGACGGGATAGCAGGAATATACCGAGGCGCGGGAGCGACGCTTCTGAGAGATGTTCCTGGATATTGTCTGTATTTCATCCCTTACGCGTTTTTCTGTGGATGGATTACCCCGGACGGCTGCCTTTCCCCTAATCCCTCTTCTGTGTGGCTAGCAGGTGGTGTAGCAGGTAAACTCACTCCCCCCGCGCCCCTGCCCCCAAATACTGGCGAAACAGCAATAGGAACTTTAACAGGGCAGATTTACGGGGGTGGCTCAGGGGCTGCCCCATGTTACATCGGAGAGAGGATGTGGGGCTGGATCTCCTGTGCTTTATGATTTGACGGACTTTGTGGACACTGTATCATCAGGTCTCGTTCAGCCAGCGAGACGGAAAACGGCTGATGCGTTAATTCCCCTGGATGCTTCTGGGCGGTCTCTGCATCGTGTTGTAAGCGATACAGGGCAGGCAGTATGCCCCCAGCACAACGCTTCCAGCTGTTGACTGGGTCCCAGGAGGATGTGCATCCTAGGCACGCGCAGCAGGAGACGCCAAACCTCAGCAGTCTGTTGTTACTGATCTTCTTTCCATGTTGGAGGCTCCAAACTGCTTTTTCTGTTGACACCTGCCAATCACATGTCCATATGCACCCCACTCCCCCGTGCTTAGGTATATAAACTCATCCGTACGCTCGCTGCCCGTTTATTTGCGTTTTCTAAATCGCAGAATCCCAAATGCGTGCCATTACTTGGCTCAAGTAATGATTACAAAACATTGTAATTATCCTGCAAATAAACAGAGCCTTGGCTCATCCGAACAGCCTCGCTAGCAAGTCCCAACACTGACATAGGTCCAAGCAAGCGCTCGTCAGTCTGGTCCTGCCGTGCATTGCAGCCACCTGCAGGGAAATTTCGCAAGCCCATAAATCTCTCCAGGTAGAAACCTGGGGAAGAGGGAACAACAGAAGATGTTATTTGCTACACATGCACAAGATTGACATTAAGTGGGAGATCTCAGGTAGATGAGAAGCACTGCTACCTTCCCAGATAGGCAATGTGTCCCATCCAGCTGCAGGCTAACCAATGCAAATAGTCTCTGTATAGGAATGACAACATGGATCAGCTGAGTAGAGCCTAATCCTGGTGGCATGAGATGCCACAGCTTCTCTTTTGCATTCTCAGCTCAAAATTTGCTTTTCAACGATATTTTTCTGAGGAGTTCCGGTTCTTTAGAAGCTGCCCCAAGCAGCAGTTTGAGCTCTTCCTGCTGCACTTCCAGAAGCCCTGTGACAGCAGTATTTCCACCCGGGGAGCACCTCTGGGCTGCCTGCAATGTGCTTTGATGTAACCTCAAAAGTCTCAATGTTTCTTCCAGAAGTAGGGAGCTTTGCTCCCAAAATACCTTTCTGAGCCTGAGCAGGGTGAATGCCCTGATAAGAAAATCCCATTCGTAGGATGTGATAGGTGATAGATGAATTTCCGAGTTCACTGGGCTGCAGTCAAGAAAATAGAGAGAGGAAGTTACTGAGATACCTCCAGGCACGACCAAAACCTGAGGATCTGTGTCAGGATATGGAGGGAACTCCCATCTGCCTTTTTCTAGGAGCGATTTCCTGGGGGACTGCTACTCCGATGGATGTTGTGAAAAGTCGACTTCAGGCAGACGGCGTTCATAGCAACAAGTACAAAGGGACCTTTGACTGTATCTTGCAGAGCTACCAGAGCGAGGGCTTAAAAGTAAGTGGTATTTGAAGTACAATCTGGGTATTAGACTTTAATTTTGAATTGGGAAATGCAATGGCTGTTACAAACCCAACTGCAGGCAGATGAGAGATGACTAAAGCCAGTTACGTCTAAATTATAGTAATGACAGTAGCTAACTACAGTGCAGATTCTTTCTAAATCATTACAGTGAGAATGGGCCTGCAGAAATGAAAAAGTGAATCGCCTGGGGGCATAGTCTGCCAGTGTTATTAACTTAAAGCAACACTATATGTCAGTGTGTTTAACTGTGGATATAATCTGAGTCGTCATAAATTAGCGGTGAAAAAGCTTGCCTCTGCGTTTGTTTCTATAAAACGCAGGGGTAAAAGGCCTGGCCACGCCAAAGTCAATGTGAACTGATTTCAGGGGACCGCAGTTGCACCCAAGGAGCGTTTGGTCACCGTGGGCTGTGCTTTGGTGGAGCTGAGCTGGGGCTTGCACTGCCTATCAGCGCTTTACACCAAAACAGAGTAGCTGGGAAAAGCTCTTAAATCAGAATTGCTTCGGTTTCAAACACAAAGAAGGGCAGTGTCTGCTTTTTCCAGCCATACCTATTGGTCTAATAAAAGGGGTTTTGAGCTGCCTGCAAAACTTGCCTCAGTTAAATGTGAGTGGCACAGAACTAGGAATTGCAGCTTTATGGCACTGCAAAGGCATGATTGCTGAAAACTATGGCTTCTGCCGTTGAATTAAATGGGTATTTAAGTTGTCATCAAAACGCTGTGTGTAGGCTTTTAACTCAAAAGTGCTAATTTTCACATTCTGAAGGAAAAGTAACAAGTTATAAAAAGAAAGATAACCTGCAGAATCACAAGTCAATGACTTTACTATTTGGCAACGTGCCATTACATTATGCTGGCTGTCACAGAAACTTGCAGTCTGGTTCCTTTTCTGGCCACTGAGTGGGGAAAAAAGTCACATTTGTATGAAGCACAGGCACATGGAGAAATGTTCCTCAAGCGACGCTAAAGACAGTCCTTGGGTGGTCAGAGCAGGGCCAGGGTGCCCTGGGCTTGACGCAGACTCCCTGCTGGGGATGTTCAGTTTAGCGTGCCGTTTATCTCACTGTAAGACTTAAAGTGGCTGGAAAGGGCATTTCCATGGATCTTCCCTTCTCTCTCCATCCTCATCCTCACTCCCCCACCCTCCTTGTTCTGCCTGATTATTAACAGTTGTTTCAGGCACTTAGTTCTCTTGCTTGGCATTGGAGTTGCTTGCAGTTTTTCTGCTGTAATTCTTGGCACCTGGAAAGCCTGCAAGAGGGTCGAGGGATAGCTGAATAGTAAGACCAGGCCCTTCTCTCATAAGGAGAATCTTTCTGCCTGGTGGGAGAGACAGAACTGATGGAGCATCGCTGAGAAATGGCAAACCGAGGTCTGGATGTTTATATTCAGGTATATATGAACAGCATTCTCAGTGGTGAAAATAATTGTCTGGCGTGCACAAAAAAATGTAAATTGGCTCTCTTGTTCTTTTTGATGAAAAAAATGTATGCCTCTGGGCTCTTCTTCATAAATCTTCATTATTATTTAAGTTGGCGTTGACATATGTTACTTTATGGAAACTGGAAAACCTTGAATCTCCTCCCAGGATATTCTGTCTTTTCAAACAAAATAAAACACCCCTAGTAAATCAAGTAAACGTTATCCCAACTTCATGTTGCAAACGCCATCATAAGCAACATGCTTTGATTTTTTATTTTTTTTTTCTCACGCGTGTCAGCAGCATGCACTGTGTGTACTGAATCCAAGATATGGTTGTGTTTAGTGAGCTCAATATTCCAGGGGAAATGATGGTTAGACACTTTAACCTAAAGACTTCCTATCTTGAAGCCAAGACCTTTAATCCACTCTTAAGGTAACTGTGGGAATTTTGCCTTTGTAAGGCCTGGGGGGGGTTTGGTTTTGCTGATGTTACTATTCACATCAATTCTGAAATTCTGGTGTTTAGATTACTGATCCTAGTGATCAGCTTGGCTGGCTAATGGAGTGATTTTGTGAGAAATGAGCCATTAGAGACAACTCCCACAACCACTGTTTTGTAAATCGGCTCCCCTGGACGCCCCCGAGGGGTGGTCTTGCGTGCACCCTTGCACATACCATGCAGTGGTGTTTATACGTGAGGGTCGCTCCCGCAGGGAGCTGAGCCGGACACAGGTGTTATTCTCCCTGCCCATCCTCTGTGGTCACTGAAGAGAAACAGACCCTTCCAAGGGTAGCATGGAGGGTCTGACCTCTGAATATCTTCTGATGGGAGTCTGCTTCTTGCCGCTGACTGCAGAAGGCACTGAAGAAGCCTGTGGCGCCCTGTGGCTTGTTCTGCTTAAAGCAGGTGCTGAACCCTGGCTGTAATAGCTTTTCTGCTCCTTCTCTAGTTCCTAAGCATTTGCTGAGCCTGTAGACCTAGCCTCAGAAGTTGGAGCGTTTGCTGTGTGAAAGCAACGGCCTTCTTGTTGTAAATTGGGGTTTGTCAGCATGCGTATGGAAAGGGAAGGAGGGACTGACAGCAGGTAGGACAGCACAGGAAGAAGTTTTAGATTTCCTGTTTTCTGTTCTCCACCACTGTCATGCTACCATTTGTTACCCTCTACCTCTTCTAGCTCTTGCTGACAGCTTTAGAGGGTGATCCATAGGGAACATGGAGCATACGGATATCAAACTAATGCCATTACACGTCCGTTTGCTAGTGCGCGCATCAGCAAAGGTTAGCAGTGAGAGAGTATCTCTGGAGCAAGCCCAGATTTTGTTCTTCAGAATTCCACTATGATTTAGTTCAATGTTTTCTTCTTAAAATAGCCAGTATATTCCTACGCTCTAACCTTTTTCCATCCTCAACAGGTCTTTTTCAGGGGCATCACGGTCAATGCAGTGCGAGGATTTCCAATGAGTTCAGCCATGTTTCTTGGCTATGAACTCTCTCTCAAAGCAATGAAAAGAGACCAAACTGAGACCAATCCTTAACATCCAGGTCAGCACATAAAGACCCTCTAGCATTATTAAAATTAGAAAATTAATCTTTGTAATTGTATAGGTCTTCTGAAAATCAGAGGGAAACCTGGTACCTGGGTACATAAACTTCTGGCGTCAAACACTTTTCAAATTTTGGTCTGTGGGTTTTGGTATGGATAAGAGAACTGCCAGTAGATTCTAGGCTTCAATCCAGATTGTCTGGGATTTCATTCCAGTCATTCTGATTGTTGTGATTGTCTTGATTAGGGCAAATCAGAAATGAAAACATGAAAGCAGAATATTCCCTAACATTTTGTAATTTTTGAAATATCATTCTCATTAAAGTCCTTGAACCTTATACTCTCCTTCCTGGATTCATCCATAAAGCCCCAAAATTAAGCCCTGTCAAAGGGTTTTGACTGTCAACTCGGTTTTACTCTATCCCTCATAAACCTAGGATTGTATAAAGGAGCAGCATTAAAATTATCTGATTACAGAAACTTCTTTAGAAGAAGTTAAATACTCAAAATTATTCTTGGCAGTCTTTGCTGTTTTCTGTGGTGCTTTATAAATATCCTTTTTTCTTATTGCAAAAGTATAGCCAGGAAGACCTGACCAATCTGCTACTTTCCTGAGCCAAATCAGCAGTGTGGTATTGGTGAGGGCCTCACTGGTACCAGCGTGGGATATGATCGAAGAATCCCATCGCCACAGAAACCTTCAGCTCATGAACTGCGCTTTCTGTTCTGCCATGGACTTGGCCACTGGAGAGTTCTAAACCTGCACCAGCTCAATCCAAATCCAAAGAACATTTTCTTTTGCAATCTTTCACTCGATTGTTTAAAAGCACCTTAATAATTACTATGGCTGCATTGGGCTTTTTCACCAATGACATTGTTTCCATTGAGCCAATAGAACAATTTGCTTCCTTTACACAGAAGGGTGGTATATATTCAAAAACAAGCTACCTGACATCCACTGAAGGAGTGTTTTCTATAAAATATTGTATATAATGCTTGACTTTTTTGCAAACAGGGACATTCCACTCAAGAAAGAAAAAGGGGAGGCCTGCTGGGGCGGGAGTGCTTTTCATGTAGGAAGTCCTGGATTCCTACCAAATCCTAGTTTGGTTTCAGGATCAAAGAAATGGATGACTACACCCTTATGAATGGATACTGTTGTTTTACATCATAAAATTCTCCACACAGTTTGCCACAGTTTAGCACATTGAAAGATGTGGAGGGCTTTGACAACTGTAGTTTGTTATCGAAGCTATAAATTAAATTGAGAAAATGGGAGGATGTTAAACGTGGAGTCTAAGCTGCTCCTCCTTCCTCAGAAAACAATAAACAAGTCTGTATTTCATATAGGTAGTTGCCCGTTAATTTACTTAACTTGCCTTGTAGACTTTCAGTGACTTGCTAGAATCTCATTAGACAATCTGGCTTCTTTAATTTGATAGTCCATGTTGCCAAATGCCAAATCCTGCAGGCATCACTTTGCAGCCTTAAGAGGCCACTTCCAGATGAAGCCTCTTTAAGGGATGCGGATTTTATCCCAAACTATATGCTCTAAAATGTATGGGCCAGCTTCAAACCTGCAGCTCTTCATTGCAATCCTACCCATAGGACAGGGGCAGAGCCAGGGCTCTTTTTTGTCTACCTCAGCCTTCTCATTTACTCTCAAGATCTTGCAGCATCATGATTATTTCTGTTTACTCTGTTAAAAATCTCCATGTTTTATTTTCTAAGCATGGGGCTTCTGATGCTAAAAGCAGGAGAACCAGCTCTATTGGCATGAGAGACTCTGGTGGCACTCAGAGGAGAGGTGGGGGGTAACAGCCTCCCATGCTGAAGGAAGTGCATCACGGAGGAACAATCTGGGCCAACCCTTTCTTGTGGAAAATGCACAGTTCCCGTTATCTTCCTCTGGAGAAGGAAAGCTTTTGGGAAGAAGCCCAATGATGGCAGTTTTAGCAGAGGTTTCTGAAGACATCTGGAGTAACTATTCAGCTTTACTCCATAAAAGGAGGAGAAGGAAAGAGGAATTCCTACATCCTTGTCCCTCAAGGAATGGAGGAACAGTGACTGGGGACAAGACTTGAAGACCCCCCAAGTCCCAGCAAACAGTGCCTGCAAACTTGGGCCTAGAGCTGTACTCAGAAATGGGTTCCCTGACCTCCTGCAACAGTGTGGACTGCTCTTCACTGGGGCCCACATTAATACCCACTTTCCCCAAAACAGGCCCTAAAGAGTGGTAGAAACAAAGCCCACGTAGCTTCATCTCAGGACTTGTCGGGTAGGAGGTTCACATGAGCTTGGCAAGAACAAGAGAAACTGTTTTTGATAAACATTATGTAAAAAATTGATGAGCCTTCACACAAATATTTGCTATTGGCTTGATTTAAAAAGTCATTATTTTCGTGTTACCTATTATAATATATGCACTTAAAACATGTTCTCTAGATGCATAATATCATATGACTCCAGGGATAATACTTGGGAAAACTGCTTCTTCAGTGCAAATAAACTGTTTCAGCTATATAACTACTTTATGTAAAATGGACTATGAATGAATTAAAATCATGAGGTTTGCAAGGAGCTGTGTATCTGAATGATCCCGCCCCAGGGTCTGTGTTTTCAATGCCAACCCATGTGTACAGCCCTGAGACCCATGTCAGAGTTGTATGATATTTTTTCCCGATTTTTGTCCGTACAATGAAGCCAATTTCGAGATGGATCCCCAGGACTCATTCGGGCAAAACTGATGTAACAGATGCCTGCTAGGAGCTCTCAGACAGAGCTGTGCATCAGCTGGTGTTGAAAGGCAGCAGGGGAAGGAAGCTTTTAGTGTAACTACATAAAAAGAAAATGGGAAGTAAAAGGGTTTGGCCGCATGATGGCATCCTCATCCACAGCAAGGACAGGGAGAGGACATAGCCCACATGAAGCACACTGGCACTGATTGCTCAAGCTGTCATGAAAACATCTTTCTCTCTTGCTCCATTCAAGCCCCAAGTCCAGGTTTGCTGCCAGATGAGCCCACGTTTCCCTCCTAATGGAAGAGCCTCCATCATGGGGTGGGCCAGAGCATCCCGAGGGCAGACATGGAGGCTAGAGTACGTGACCCTGGGTAATTTCAGAGTGGTCCTGCCCTGCCTGTCGCCTCCTTGCCCTGGAAGTGCTGGAGGCATGCCCTGGCTGGCACAACCACAGCTTTCAGCAGGCCATCTGATGAGTGTCTCATGAGGCTAACATCTGTAGAAAAACTACCATAAGGCAAAGCAACACCAGGCCAATGCAGGAGAGTTTTGCTCTGCCTTGCTGTTCAGACTTGTTGAGTGACAGAAGCCCTGTCAACCACACAGGAGGTCTGGTTTGACACTTGGCCAAATGCAGCAGTGTTGAGACAGGCTTGGAGCAGAATTTGCAGTATAGCGCTTCAAGGTGTGGATGTACCCATCACTGTGATGGATCGTAAGGGATCCCTATTTAATCTGGCTTATAAATTGTAAGTAAGTAAGGTAGTAAGTGCTGTTGAATGAAAGAGATTCAATGGCAGGGGGTGCTCACAGTGTCAGGGGTTGGGTGCTGGAAGAAGAGGTGGTTTAGCTAAGAGTCAGCTTGTGAGCATGTCCTTTCTTGGGGGCCTCTCGAGCCTAGGGACCTACCTGCACCCCGGGGTGCTGACCAGCTGTGTCTGGTGCCTGGGACCACAGCTCAGAAGAGAGGGAAAGGTGAACCCCACAGGTGGGACAGCCCCACAACTGGAAGAACATGAAGGACATCAATTGAAAATTCTTTGTTAGTATAGGTGGAACACCAGGGCTACTGGACTGTAGATCACCAAATCTCTGAAAGGAGTATGAAAGTCTCCTTCATTATGGAGAAAGCAATGAATACTGCTGGATCACCTACAGTATAGAGGCTTTGAGAAAACAAGGAACTTACAATTGAAAGAGCACGGGCTAAGAGATTGTCCTACCACAGCTACCCAGTGCTTCAAGACTGGCATCTACTGGGGGCCTCATCTGGTGCAAGAACCTCGGGACTTGTATAGATCCTCGAGGACTGGCTCAGCTCATAGTCTACTTCCCCAGATTTCAAAGCATTTTATCATTCACTAGGCCTACTTTACACGTAATACAGCAAATCCTGCCAACTCCTGTGAAAGAGGGCCAGCCTATTCTTACTCATGCAGCTAGGTATGAAGTAACATCTGTGCTCACTCTATTAAATCGTGATTGCTGCGTTTCAGTCAAACAGCCTGCAGGTGGTTTTTAAAGGGTTCAGCCGCTGCAGGACTCTGGTGCAGTTGTGGAGTGAGTGCTTTGTGCTGTCTGTCCGTCCGTCCGTCCATCCGTCTGCCTGTTGCATTTGTCCTTCTGCTCAGTGCTGTTCTGCGGGCACAATCCAGCACTCTGGGTCATCTCTCAGCAGGAGAAGCAAGGAAGGGTGAGTGGACTTGTGCTATGAGAGCTCTTCAGTAATCTTTATCTTTTGTGGTATGAAAGCAGTCAGGCCCACAAAAGGGGATGCTGAAGTGAGGACAGAGTATGTTGGTAATCCTCAAAATGGCATCAGGAAAAGCTTGAAAAAATAAGGGAATGGGTGAGCTTTGCTGCCAGTTCCTGCTTTCCTCTGCTTACTTCTGGAGACTGTTGGGTGCGAGATGCATTTGCAACATGTGAAAAGCCAGCATGGCTGGCATGTTGTAATCAGGGTTACATGTTTTTAGATGCCTCAGTGGTTGCTAAATATTGCAGCATGGAAGGCTTGGTTCCCCTACTAGGAAACCCTGGAAAGCTCCAGTGACAGTACTATTGCATGAAATAGGGATGGCTTATAGCTCTGAAGGTCCCTCTCAGGTGTGCTCCGGGGTGTTTGCCCCCCCAGGCTCACAGCTGGCCACCCAGCATGTTATCCCAGTTCACCACCCAATGTGTTACCCACCACCGATCTCACTGCAGGCTGGGAACAGCAGCAGCCAGGTCTCCAAATTGCAATCTCTGCGAGCTGTTGCTGTAGCAAATTGCAATCTCTGTCAGCTGTAGCTGTAGTAAATGCTTCAGCCTTTGCAGTCCTGCAGAGATCGGAAGCCAGAGCCCGTAGGCTGGAAGGCTTTTCTCGAAATCGGAAATGCCATCATCCCTGGGCTGTTTCCTGAGGGAACGCTGTCTGTCCCTCTTCCCTGCTATTTCCACATGGGGAGCTCAGTTCAAGACATAATGATTCTCCAGAAGATCAGTGCCCCTGAAGCTTCCTCTCAAAGATGGTTTTGCATGGTGGGAGTGTCCAGCACTGCAGTTCACGCCAGCAAAGCTGTTCTGCAGCTCCCTGTGGAGCTGGTCAGCCGACCCGCTCCCCTGGCGTTCGCTCTCGCCCTTGGCGCAGGCGTGACGCTGAGGTGCCGGGACGATGGCCCCGGTCCTGTCCCCGTGTCCTGGAGCAGCAGTGGCTCGTGAGCGCCAGAAGTTTCTGCCTGGGTGCCCTTCGGGGCAGCTCAGCAGACCCCAGCATCCAAGCCGTCTTCCCAGGGCTCCTGTTCTCTCTTGCGATAGCTGAAAATGCTGACAAACACGTATTTCATTTTTAACTGCTTCTCCAGGAAAAAATATTTCCTTTACCTCACTTATTTCCTGAGTACCACTAGGCGTTCTGGTTAGTTAGTTTAAAGGGTTTCAAATTGACTAAAGCTCTCCCCAAAATAAAAGGGGCTCTGTTGCCTCCGGACGCTGAAGCGAGCCCTCAGCATGTCCCGTAGCCCATCCGCTCAGACGCGAGCGGAGCGTGCGCCTCCCGGGAAGGGCCGCTGCCCCCTTCCAGCGGGCACAGCTGGCACTTGACGTCTTCCCCGAGTTCATCTGGGTTTTACGTCTCTGTGTCATAGGCAAGCTCAGTGCTATTACGCTATGGTTTAGACTTTTGTGGAGGAATTAGCATGACTCTATTTTCCTTTATTTCTACAGTAGTAAATGTTATCTTAAAAAGAAAGAAAAAAATACTCCAGGCCACCTTATCTCTGGAAAATTACGCTATCGAGAGCATCGTTTCATTTGTGGTTTTTGCAACATGTTACATCTCGATAAGCGTACACAGCAAGCTTAAAACAAGCCAGTGTATTATCTTTGTTTTGCATCTGCAGGGAATCTTTCTTCTACATTAAAAAAAAAATTATACAGAGCTTCTTGGAAACACTGCAGTGAGCTGCAGATTCTTGGGAGCAACATTTATGCTGACTATCCCCAATACAGGCTAAAATGCTGATTTGGAAGATTCACTTGCAATGAGATTTGTGGGGCATTTTTCAGTCATTAGGCATTAAAAGAGAATACATCCGTAAGTATTTATGTATAAACTAAAAATGTATGGGGCATTAGATGAGGACTTCCCAAGGAGCCAGAGAGAGCTGCCTGTAAAAGACCACAGTAATATACTTGGAGAGTTTTGTGGGTTCACCTTTTCCAAATACCTGTTCTGGGCTGAGATCTTACAATTTTGTCCGGCGTGAGTTGTGATTTGAACGTTGAGCTGGCACAGCTCAACAGCAGGCTGGGTAATGGCTTGGCTCTGGCAGCCCACCCGGCTTGGGGAGCTCTCTGCCCCCATCCTCGCCTTGGGCTGCTGATTCACGACATCCTGTAGTACGTAGGGAAGTTATAAGAAGTATGCAGATATACGATCTGTTAATCTAAGTGCCCCACGCTAGCAGGGCCACGGCGAGCGTTTCCCCGCTTTGGTTTCCCAATGGTGAGGTAGAGACTGTTTACATGGGTTAATGCACTCATTTCCTTTGGGCTCAGTATTACAGGCCCTGGGTTTTAGTTCTTCATTTTCCTTCTGGTTTTTCCCAGCCACAAAGCTTGAAAGGGAACAAAAAGCTTCACAAAGACCAGGCTTAACCTTGCTGGCTGCACACTTTGGCAAGAGGCCTTCTGAGGCTCACAGTCTGTGGTTTTATGACCTTGGGAGGGAAGCGGATTGAAACAGTCACCTTCGTACCTAATGCAGTTTGAGGTTAAGATTTTAGCGATGATGAATTTGTTTTAGCTTTTTGAGTGGCAGTCCAAAAACCTCTATTCCTTCTCTACATTTTGCCCTATTTTCTCTCTAGAGAGATTAAGGGAGAGGAAACACAAGGAGATCAGATACCTAGAAATGAGGACTAAAAACAATCTGCTAATTTTTTTAACACACAAATTGCAATATGTTTATGAAAATATGTTGTCATAGGTGGTCATCAAAATGAAGACTTTTAAAATATCAAAGCTGTTTAAAGACGATATAAAAAAAGCTCGTCTTTTTGCTGAGGTGGCAGGTAAAAGGGAAATATATTGTAGTTTTATCTTAAAATTATTGCATTTGATGCTGATACTTTCTGATCCATCTAAGATGAGATTGCATTCACGTAAGAGGATGAAAAGCTGAAAGATCAGAATCCAGCCCAAAGTCCTTAATAAAACGTCAAAATATAACTCTTCTCTACAATCAAGCAAAAAATCCCTACCAGCATAAACTACTGGTCCCTAAGATCCCAGTTAAAGATTTAGTGGAAAAGCATGTTTCGTTATAAAACTTCATT